AAAAAAAATAAATAAATAAACTCATTCCTTAGATAACCCTTAATTTTCCTCCACCCTCCTCGCAATACATATCTTCAAATTTGGCTTCTATACCTTTCTTTTGTAATTGGGTTTGAAGAACTGTGGGAGAGTCGATTAAAGTTGTTGATTCCAGTAAGGCTCTTGGAGCACCAGAGCTAAGAGCATAATTGAAGGTTCATTGTTGTGTTACTCAATACTATGAGAATTTGATGGTGGAAGTGATTTTCTTGTTAGTGATGATGCTATATAGATTATAGAGGTTGTCAGCACTGGGAGAAATATTACGATTAGAGGAGCCTGATAAATCTGATCCAAATGCCAAAAGTTCAACTGTTATGTATTGATTAAGAATATGAGGTAATAGCCCATCAACTTGCTAAGGAAGGCTGCCATACAAAAACTTATGTTTCTTTTTAAAAGGATACCAACAAGACTAAAGGTCTCCCTCTGTATAACTGGACTTTCTTCTTATGGAATATTAAATTAAGACACTCTTCTTCTCTTTTCTCCTCCTCCTACCTGCTAGTGAAATACATTTCAACCTTTCTAGAATTTATTCCAGGATTTTATATCTACCTTTCATCGCCTAATTATCTATAACATTCCCATAAACGAGTAGGAATCCATGTGAAATCACCAAGGTAGATTCTCCAAAGGAAATAAAAAGTGCAAACAAACCCTGACAAAACTAACTACAACATGTGGTATCCTTAAAAAACACCTTGTGTGACTTTACCCAATCAAAAGCAAGCTAACAAGAAAAAAGAGGAAAGTGGAACTTGTGCACGAAGCATTGTTTTTCACTTTGCCTGATCAAGCCTTGGTATAATTCTCGGTCTTCACTATTGGCCTGATCAAGTCTTGGTATTATTCTCAGTCTTCATTACTGACCTGATCAAGCCTTGGTATAATTCTCAGTCTTCACCATAGGAAATTTAGGTTAAGGAGTTACAAGAATAGTTTGTGCATTTAGACCCAAGGGTTGTGTTTTATAACATGAGCCTTATCTTGGTCAAATTGTGCGCTTGTGCATTTTAGGAAGTCTAGTTGAAGTATTCTAAACTCACTTGGGCATCAAGTCTTTTGGCCATCAAATTCTTCTTGATCCTCAAGTATTGGACTCTATATGATATAATTGATAGAGTAGTATATTAAAAGTTTGCTTTTTGTAGTGAAACTCGTTTTATTAATTAATAAAAATTTGTTCTTTCTATTTAATTGAGAATTTATATGGACAAAATGTTTGTAGTATATATGATATGCATGTGTGTCTTATATTTTACATTGTAGATAATCTGGTGTATAGAATTCGGCTTATGCACAGAAGACCAGATTATCAGATCCTTGTATAATATGAGTATATGTTCACAATCGTAGATGAAATTAGACATGTCATCTGTATGATTGTAGTGTAATATTCTGGTATAGTCTGTCTTGACTATAGGAGATTGTTTGATGTCTCGGATTATTGCACTAATACACTTTGTATATTGAATAGACTCATGTTAAGGTTATTAACTTTTACTGATTTAATAAGATAATAAATACCCCATAATTATTATGACTGTTTATATTTTTAATTCCTAAATATTTAATAGTCACGTGCATATAATGTTGTCACTCTAATTCATCAAAGAGTGAGATTCATATTGGGTCAATAAACTCGATGAATTGGGAGACGATTTTATTTGTATGGTGAAAATGTAATATTAAAGTAAACCACGTCCTATTATTTAAATGGTTGACGATGTCCTCTTGAGGAAACTCATAAGTTTTGTTTATGTCAAACCCTGCAAGTAAAATTAATTATCCGACATGACAAATAAGTTAAGTGGTAAGGTCTCACAGAATAAAAGAAGTCAATTAAACATAATTGTCAGTGATTTATGTAATTAATGGACATCTGTAATCTTAAACGTAGGGAGATTATTAAGTATATAATAATAAGGAGCTCGAATATAATTTTCAAATAAGGTCCAAGAGATCAATAATAAGTCTTTAGTGGACTGACTTATTATTAATGGGCTGTAGAGTATTTGTTCTAGGTTGAACATAGGAATCCTAAACCCATTGAGAGCCCGGTCCTTATTTTTCCTTACGGTCTCTGTCGTATCCTATATATAAACGTCTAAGTTTTCCAATTCAGCATCCTATCTTTACTCACGTTTTTTAGGGAGGCTAAAAGAGAGAGCAAAAATTCGGAGGTCTTGGCAACCCACACTGCAACCGAATTCTAGCGTGAGGGATATACGATAGAAGGCCGCAAGGTTCGTCGAGTTGAAGTCGTTGTTCGGTCCTGTGTTCGTGCTGAGACAAGATCAATTTCGAGGGATCTCGAAGGTAAACCTTAATTCCGCCTTGTAGGGTTTTAAAAGAAAATTTTTGATATTCGATACATACACACTGTCAACAGCTCTTGGGATTTCCGTTCCAACAATAATGGCCTCCTTTTAATAGTAAAATGGATTGTCATAGTTGCTTTGTGTGGTTTTCAAATCCATTGCAAGGATGAAGCATGACCCTACTTCTTCCCTTTCACCTTCTCCTTTTCCTTATCTTTTATCTTGAAGCATTAGTCACAGCTCAAAGTTTGGTGCCCAGAAAAAAGCTTCAACATAGCCACTAAAATTTTCTTTACCCTTCTAATATGATTCTCACCGATTGGTTTTGGGGTGGGTGCTTTTAGTTTGAGGAAAGCTTGTGAAATTACGATCCAGGTGGAAGAGTAGTGGTAAACTTTAGGGATGAAAAGGGATTGATATATGCATGGATNACCGATTGGTTTTGGGGTGGGTGCTTTTAGTTTGAGGAAAGCTTGTGAAATTACGATCCTAAGAGGTGGAAGAGTAGTGGTAAACTTTAGGGATGAAAAGGGATTGATATATGCATGGATTTAAAGTGTTAGGTTGCTGAAATTGCAAAAAATAACCTCTAGAAATTCTGGACAGCAACCAATAATGATGTGTATGGTGGTAAATTGAGAAGGGGATAAAAAAGGAAGTGTGGGGTTTGATGTGAGCTAAAAAAATCAGAATAACTTTAGGGGTTAAAAATGGAGGGCTGTTCTATGTCCGTAATAAGTACCTTGTGTGCATTATTCTAGGAGGAGGAGGAAAAGAAAAAGAATGAATGCTCTCCTTATTGGATCTTACAATACCTAAAAATCTAGATTAATCTTCAAAGTTTCCTTTTCAACTCCAATTTCAGCTAAAAAAAAATTCAAAACCATTATTTATCATTCAAACATCCAAATCAATAATACGAGTACATTGCTACAATAAGGAATAGTTCTGCTGCAAAGCTGCAAAACCAAACCCCAATTAATGCCTGCCTGATCCACCCAAAACTTGCAACTCTTTTACAGAAACAAAATATGATAAAAATGACCAAATTCTTTGTTTCTCTTTCTTTTTCATGACATAAGTGAGTCAAGGTTCATAATTATGTTCGAGAGACAGACTATCCAAAACCAGAATACTAGTACATAGGGAATGTATGTTTATATTTGTGATTGCCAGCGAACAAAAAAACACTTTCCAGAGAAAACTCTTCCACCAAAAAGAAAAGGATGACAATGAAAAAAGAAAGAAAAAGTGAATCTCACTAAATGTAGGTATGTGGTGACAAGTTAACAGCTAAGAATTTGGCCGTTCACTCTCATTTAGATAATCAGGCATGTACTAGAAGAATGATGGGCATGTTTGAGTTCTTGTTGATTTTGGCATTACCCGTCGTATGACACCCAATGTTTGCATAGCTGCAGTTGAAGCAGGCCCCATAGTGGGCAACTGAAGGTGAGCTGTCGAGGATTTTTTCCTGGTACCTTCTTCACCATCTGCATGCATAAAAATTAAATTCAGAAATATAATCTCCTTATCCAATGGAGAATATAATCCAGAAGCAGCACAATTGCAAGTAAAATCTACGCATACCCAGCAAATTGAATGCCCCAGAAGTTTTTGAGTCTTCAGTGCTGCACAAATAAGCAAACAAAAAAAATATAGATCCCTTGTAAATAACAGGGACAGCGACAGTGACATTCGTACAGAAGCATAAATCTAAACTTAAATTTGTCATATACTAAATTTCATGGACTAACCTCATCAACTCACGTGGAGTACCCATCAAAGTAGACTTGGTTTCTGATGCTAAATGCCAAGACAGAGTATTTGATGCAGGGGTACCTAAAGCCAACGCATTACATTGCAATACCATACTCATTAATTCCCTGTTAGAAAGAGAACTCTTACACCATGACCAATAACAGGACATAAGCATGCGTGATCAAGAAACCGACTACCTGAAGGATACAGACGAGGTCTTGCTTTAATATGACTTTGTTTGCCATCTGTCTGTATATGTGGGCTAAAATGCACTCTCTTGTTTGCAGAATCTGCAGTCAAACCAAGTAAAGTAAGGATCTCATCATACTGGTCCCACTTACAGAAGAACCTAGAGGTAACTAATCTTACTTGGCAAGATGTAATGCTTGTGATGCCTTGGGATGATTGCTAGCAACTGTTGCTGCCTGAGACCTTCTTTATCCGTGTATGTTTGGCACGTTAGAAGTTGCTTAAAAATAAGTTAACAAGAAAAAAGTTCAGCTTCTCTATATAGTGGATATGCTTCATAACGTCTCCAATCAGACAACTGCAGAAACCTAACCTGATTTAAACATGTAATCCTCATCTCCACAGTCGAAACATCTGTGGTTTGTTGCTCAAGAAGGTCATTTAATTTGTAAGCAACAGTGCCAAGGTGATCAACAGCATTGACAAGGGCTCGCACTGCATAATCTTTCAGGTTGTCTAGTACCCTGTACATATTTTGAAATTAACTTACAGCAGAAGCAGAATAAGAGTGCATAAGACCCACAAATAAATGAAATTAAGTGCACCCAACTTGTTAATGTCTGACCATATACCAGTGAAACAGAATTAACTCCAAACATAAAAAAATTGAACTAATGTTTATCTCACATACCAATACAAACAAATGATGGAGACATTTTTCCGGGAGCTCTCAAATGATGTTCTTTAACCATTTTTTCACCACACCAAATAAGAGGATCAAGGAATAGAAAGATTATTTGAGAAAATATCTATTACGTTCTGGCAATAAACCAGCTTTTATGCTGGGTGGACCACGGGCAGGGATGGAACTGTGCCACTGCCGCATCACAGTCACACGATGCTTGATAAACTCAAAGACCATCTATTTAATAAGATTTCCCAGCAACTACTCGAAATCATTTACATATGAAACAGCCAAACAGGTCCAAATATCATTAATCTAAAACTCAGTGGCAGTAGTCATACATCTGTTTCTGTTCACTGTGAAGATAAGACTTTTCACAATATTCAGCAGCAGAATATAGTTGAGGCCTTAAGTTCTTGAGTTCCTGAAATATTCATGACATCATCATCAAATTGGAAACAATGCAACACTTTGCTGAAAATGGATAAACTAGTGATCAGAAAGAAAGAATCCAGAAACATGTCCTACCAAACTACAAAATGCACAAGCACAAAAACATTTATCCACTATGATAGCCAGCTTGCAAGTTGCAACACTTTCTGTAATATATGATGATGTCAAATGGTTTCAGCCATTCCCATTGGGGTTAAGTACTGGATTCCACAAACTAAAAAATGCATAGAACAAAATGAATCCATGGGCATGAACCTAGGTTAAGTAATATGGCAGAGAATGGTTCAACATACAAAAAGAATTCAATACAGGAAAAAATAATTTATATGCATATAAAAAAAAATGCTCTATGACATTAATAGGGATGTGCATCCCACCCGCAAGGGTAGTTAAGTAGGCTCTTGGCTTAGATGATGGCTCGAGGACAGACATATCGAGTTCAATTGCCTCCGACTTATACAACACAAGGTCTTAGGGTGATTGTGTACATATGGGTGGGACAGCTTGGCATAACCACCCATAATAGAAAGAAGACGACAAAGAAGAAATTGGAGATCTGCAAGCTTAAAAAATTCTGGCATCCTTTGTCAAAGGATTTTGAATCTCCGGAAAAAGAAACGAGTAAAAATTAGCAAAGTTGATCTGATTTTGACATTTATGAAAAGGCAACTTATTAGAACCAAAATCATCAATAACAGCAGTATGTGGAGTATTCTAGAAATAATAGCCAACTGCCAAACAGACTTGAATATTAGCTTTTATCCTTATATATGTTAAGTCATGTTTTGTTAATAATGGAGAAGAAAAGTTACAGACGTGTGACATTCAAATTTTAGAAGATGATTTTTAACAACATAACCTACCAACTTTAAGGAGGTCAACCTAACACTCAGAGAGTGAGTGTATTTAATAAATCCAAATCATAGTGGCAACTGTGACCATGAATAACATCTCAACATTAGATTCAATACATTTATGAGTATAACAGCCAAGATTCATTTACAGAAACAGAGAAACTTCAAGAAATTCTNGAGTGAGTGTATTTAATAAATCCAAATCATAGTGGCAACTGTGACCATGAATAACATCTCAACATTAGATTCAATACAATTATGAGTATAACAGCCAAGATTCATTTACAGAAACAGAGAAACTTCAAGAAATTCTCATAAATGAACTCACATAGGAAACTAAAATAACCTCTAAACAACAAAGAAGCCAGTTCCAAAAACATAAAAGGCTCGAAATCTACATAACCATACTCAAAGCTTAAGCTCACAAAATATATGATCTCAATCTAATTTCTTCCCATCATTTGTCAGTGACACAATGGAAGTTAAATCAAACAGTCCACATCATAATATCCTCATAGCTATATATGCATAAAGACGGAAAAACTAGATCTAATGTCCAATTTGTGAAAGTGACCAAATGAATCGAACCTGTAGGGCTTTGACGAAGTTCTTGCTTCGCTCCATCGACACCTCGTCGAACGTCATCGCCAGATTCTTCAGCCGTGGCTGCTCCAATTCCATCACAAACTCTCTCTCTCTCTCACACACACACTCTCAGAGCTTTCTTACGAAAATTCGGAGATTTCAAATACAGATTTACAGAAATTTGTTGAAACCCTAAGCAAATTATAGTTATTATGACTCTGTAAATGCGATTGAATATTTATATTGTAATATACTAAAGGTTAGGTTGGATTTGGAGTTAAGAAAGCTTGATGGGCGAGCTAAGCAGATGAGAAATGAAGAGAGAGAGAGTAATTGAGGAGTGTGTGTAGTAGAAGTAATCCCGGGAAGTGCGTTNGTGGGCGAGCTAAGCAGATGAGAAATGAAGAGAGAGAGAGAGAGTAATTGAGGAGTGTGTGTAGTAGAAGTAATCCCGGGAAGTGCGTTCTTTGAGTTAATAGCAAGTGAAAATGACTTGTTCGTATTTATTGCGAGAGATAAAGGTCGTTGAACTGAGCAGACTTCGCATTGACGCTGGCCCGGTAGACCACAAATAAACTAACTCTGTTTCCTTTTTTTGTCATTCACTATAATGCCCATTTTAGCCTCTATACGGATCTTGGATCTATGTCAATTCGAATCCAAATTCAATTAAAAAAATTATTATCCAAGTTGATCCATTTACTCAATATGATGGATCGGGCAGGTTTTTTGCAGTCCACATTCTGTTGGTTGAGTTAAATCTTTATTGGGTTATCTACAGAATCGATCCTTATAAACATAATTTTTTTAATTTTTCTTTCAAATTAATCATGCTATTTACTTCTTGTAAATTCTGNCTGGATCGGGCAGGTTTTTCGCAGTCCACATTCTGTTGGTTGAGTTAAATCTTTATTGGGTTATCTACAGAATCGATCCTTATAAACCTAATTTTTTTAATTTTTCTTTCAAATTAATCATGCTATTTACTTCTTGTAAATTCTGGCAATTTATTGGATCGAGTGCATAGGCTTACCCACGTCCTAAACAATGAACCAACCCATAAGGTCGTGCTGACAATAATGTAGTCGTAACTAACGGGTACATGGGCTATGCTTGGACAGCCATGTATCGGGCATAGTCTCTTTCGGCCCGTATTGACATATTTTTTAACTGTCTTCTCAAAACAAAAAACAGATCCTACTGTTTGTGTACAAGCATCTCAATTCTCCATAATAATGTGATGATTTTGTTGATTGTGGTCATTAACTTATCTTCATTCTTTTTTAACAGAGAAATTTGATGATTTTGTTCCCCATAATTTGTATTTCAATGAGTGCAACACAGAAACCCTTTCAGATGATTTGATAGCCTTGGAATCATTTACAGGGCAGTGGTGATAACTATAATGATTAAGTCATATGATTCCTAGTGTTATTGATTATCAAGAGCCTTGAATGAGTATCGAGTTTCAATTAAGAGCTAATAGTCGCAAGTTATAATTTCAAATATCTTAAGTTTAAATTTTAACAACTTCACAGTATTAGGTAATGTAAATTTATTTTTCATGAATATCCTAGTTTCATCATGTAACCTTTAACAAGATCGGAAAAAAGATCAATCAANTTTCACAGTATTAGATAATGCAAATTTATTTTTCATGAATATCCTAGTTTCATCATGTAACCTTTAACAAGATCGGAAAAAAGATCAATCAAAACGTACGTCAATTGACCCAACCACCCCTAATTATTGATCAAAAAAAAAAATATTGGGTTTCAAACATTACTTGGGGGTGAATAAATTCCATAAATAGTTCTGCTTTTTGTTTCTGTGTACCATCTTATATACTCGTACTGCCTCAAATATACTCTACACAAATAATATATGCAATTCCCAGAACTGGAAACTTTAAAATCTAGCACAGGGTTTGCATTTGAGAATAATATTATAACAGTAATTTTTAAAATTGATGCAAGCCTAAGCTTAGAAATCTTCCAGACGCCACGAGCCAACGCCCAAAGACAGATTAACTGTCTATGCACAACGTTCTGTTAATGGCAATTCTATTTATTCCAAAACACAAAGGTTGTTTGGTATGTGNCTTCACAGTATTAGGTAATGTAAATTTATTTTTCATGAATATCCTAGTTTCATCATGTAACCTTTAACAAGATCGGAAAAAAGATCAATCAAAACTTACGTCAATTGACCCAACCACCCCTAACTATTGATAAAAAAAAAAAAAAATTGGGTTTCAAACATTACTTGGGGGTGAATAAATTCCATAAATAGTTCTGCTTTTTGTTTCTGTGTACCATCTTATATACTCGTACTGCCTCAAATATACTCTACACAAATAATATATGCAATTCCCAGAACTGGAAACTTTAAAATCTAGCACAGGGTTTGCATTTGAGAATAATATTATAACAGTAATTTTTAAAATTGATGCAAGCCTAAGCTTAGAAATCTTCCAGACGCCACGAGCCAACGCCCAAAGACAGATTAACTGTCTATGCACAACGTTCTGTTAATGGCAATTCTATTTATTCCAAAACACAAAGGTTGTTTGGTATGTGGGTTTGGGGGATTTTTGAATATAGGTCGGAGAATAAACCCCCTCAAACTCATGTTTGACAAATACACATCTACGTCAGAGTTTGAAACCCAACCTGATTTAGGCCCAGTCATGAAACCCAAGTTCATGGGTTTCATGAAACTCATGAGAGGTTTCATATGTGGATTAATGAGTTTAACATGCAAATGACATTTATACTCTCCATATATCCTAGATGAGTTTAACACATTTAGGTCAGAGTTTGAAACCCAACCTGGTTTAGGCCCAGTCATGAAACTCAAATTCATGAGTTTCATGAAACTCATGAGAGGTTTCATACGTGGATTAATGAGTTTAACATGCAAATGACATTTATACTCTTCATATATCCTATATATCTCATATTAGTTAAATGACACAATAGTCATTTATATATAAATATAGTATCATAATAGTCATATATTCATACGCATACCAAACATGAGTATGGACAATATTAAATGTTGAATCCCATCTTTAAGTTTAAAAAAGTTTGGATAAACCAATCCCAACTTCTCTCAAAAAAACATCACACAGCCCAAGTGAGAAAGTATCAAAAGAACCAATAATCAAGTTAATTCATGTAAAGTACAACTCCAATCAGCCAGATCCTGCAGCCATTCTGACCGGGTTCAGTTTCCTTTTGATTTCTCCCTTGCAGCCGTGTGCAAGTATGTCCACAACCCTTACACACACCTAAGAGCCTAAGAGCACCCCTTCCGCATATCCATACAAGACTGAGTAGGTGGGTTGAGGTCCTACGAGGTACTCACTACTCGGAGTACCCTCCAAAAAAAAAAAAAATGTGTCTGTCAAGTTCGATTCTTCTTAGTTGGGTTGGGCAGGTTCAACCAGAAATACTATGTTTACACACAAGACTACCCCTCTTCCAAAAAGCTTCACGGGGACTACTTCACGACGACGGACAACTGCCCGTAGAGGATTTACTGCACAAGGCCCCTGGCATGCGTAGTTAGGTGCCAAACTTAGTTGCCTGTCTCCATCCCCATCTGCTAGGTGATATATTGATCCCAAACAAACAAGTAAATTTTCTGCACTTAGACATACCTACTCCAAATTGAGAAACATCAAGTGCAACATTCTTTCCAAGGCTCATTATCTGTCAACAAAGGCACCTAATATTCAGGTTCATATGCCCCCAGATATTCTTAACTGCTTCACTAACCTATAGCTTGTCTTTTTGCCTCTATATCGACCCACTGTTAACTTTCGGCTTCAACTCAGGTTCAAAAATGATGCAAAATTTAACAAAAACCACATAAGATCATCCCGAGTTAAAGGACAGACACGATATCATATAAAACCAGTTTTTTTCTCATCCTCGTCCTCTATTTTTGATTTCATTTTCCTTTTCCTGGTTGAACTACAGCCCATAATGTCAAGGAAGTTAAATGAATATCTTAGAAGTAAGAAGATTATGCATTTTTCCTTGATATAGTTATATTCATATCTTTAGCTATTTGCAAACATAGCATTATCTTGCCGGAAACTATTCTCATTGGTAGCAGCCTGGGACAAAACCTTTCTGAATAACGCAAGAATATGCTTTTCTTAGTTTACAAGAAAATGAAAACAGCCCAGAGCGGCATCTTAGGGTATGTAATAATGTTAAATCCGTTTGTTGAACTCCACCTACGGTAGACCATGCCTTACTTATATTTAAAACAACTGAGGCAAGACAACATGACAGTTCAGCCAAGCATCAACTAGCATAAGCACAAAATAGTAGCTATTAACTTCTGGTATAAACAAACAATAAATCTTATTGTTGAATCACCATTGCTCGATAACAGACAGGCACCATGAAAACAACACAAATTATTGAAAATCTATAACGGTAAGAGACAAATCCAAGTATGCCTAACTAGATTAGTAATAGCACTTTGGCAAGCAAATCCTCTTGGTTTTATCTCACTACCGATGGTAATACTAATGTTGGGTTCTGATGCTGGCGGAATCGTTATCTACAAGCGAAAGAGAATGGAAACAAGGGCACCCTAGCCAAGAAATTTGTGAAATTAGGATTTCTTTGGACATTTGGCAATGGCCACACTCCCATGGTGAGCCTAAATGTGATCCATACACTGATGGCAGCACTGGTTGAAGCTTGGATACATAATTGTGTCAAGGAAACGGAATCAAAGTGATGCTTTCTATGGGAGGAGGGGCTGGAAGCTATTCCCTTTATGTTTGGGTTCAATTTACAATAACCTTGTCAGTACTCCATTGGAGTTGTTGTGAACCTTGATGCTGCATAGAAGCAACACATAACGCCTAATCCTGCTACACAATTTTTACAAGGATTATCTGCTATGAAAATTTCACAAGGACATTCCCTTCTCAAAAGTGCTTCCGACCATAAAGGATTCTGTCAAGTATGGAGATGTGATGCTATGGTCAAGTACCATGATGACCAAACTGGTTATAGTTCATCCATTGAAAGCCACACCTAAAATATACATATGCAAGGCAAATAGTGACTGGTGGTATTGGTTATTACTCCTTTAATCTGGTTATATTATCAACTCATGAATGTAACCTGGAATTCTGCTATATGGAACCATATATCACCAATTCAAGAACAAGAGCCAAATGTATACAAAACCACTAATATTTTTATTGAAGTCTAATAAGATTAATTATATTGAACCAAAGTAATTTTACTCATACAATAAAGCTGATCGAAGCAGCATATGCCAAGCATAATATTAAATTGCAAAACAGAATATCAAATTGCAAAAACAAACCCGCAGGGGGAAAAACAGTCTCTTCTTTGTGCTCAGACCAAAGATAACAAATCAAAGAACTGTTAGAATTGAACCATTGTGATGATAAAATTCTTTATGAGCCTCATGGAAAAAAAACCTCAGCCATGGGTGTTGACGGCTTCCCAAAGCAAATTTTTCAGAACAGGGTTGGTGAGGTCCCGAGCCTGCAAGGCCGCGTCCCTGAGAGTCTTGATTGTCTGCACATTGGCCTCATAGAAGGAAAGACTCCTATACGGCAAATCATGCTTCTTGCATAGTTCCCTCACAAAAGGCGAAACCTTTCTCAATTGGCACCTAGGCATCCGAGGGAACAAATGGTGCTCAAGCTGGAATTGCAACCCACCATAGAACCAATCCATCCAAGAGACGCATGAAATGTCAATCGTCCCACCCGCTTGTTTCTCGAACCAATCATTCCCCTTAGGGGGTCCAACATAAACATTGGCCGCGAAATGGTTCAAACAGAATTGAACATGTTGGATTGATGTAACACAAAAGCTTGCTAGCACAAACAACACCCTCTCTGTCCAATTGGGTAAGAATGAAACAAGAAGAGGAAACCAAGTCCAGAAAACAAGGATCCCAACAATGTTCAAAGCTCTATCGGGTACCTTTCTCTTGGAGAACAACAACAGGAAAGTCTGCAAATAAAGATTAAATCTCGCAACAACCATCACAGGATAAAAGGTTAGATGTTGATAACTCACAAAAAACCTAGCCAATGGATCAAATGTCAACTTTCTTCCATAGAAAACGGATGTCAATGAATGAAATAGACGCGAAGAGACCGCAAAAACAGGCAAGTGTTGAAGGTCCGGATCATAATCAAGGCTATTGCAGGCAATGTGGTGGGCATTATGAGTCCACTTCCACCAAGCAATGCTGATCCCAGTAAGGCAATTCCCAATAAGAATCTGGGCAACTCTGTTACATCCTCGAGTCATCATCGCTTGGTAATGCCCAGAATCATGACCAAGATAAGCCACTTGAATCCAGGAAAACCCCAACAACCCACCACACAACATATGAATCCAGAAATTATCAGAATACAACACCCCATAAACACATGTGAAGAGCATCAAAGCAACAAAACAAAGAGAATAGATCACACCATGTCCTTTCTTTTCGAAAAGCCCTGCTTTTGCAAACTCAGAAACAAGTTTTCTATAATCCTTGGACACCTCCGAGATCTGAAAATCTTTCACATGATACCCAGTAAATAATTTATCAAGATATTGCCAAGCACTACCTGGATGGAAAGCAATGAACGCATCAGTGACGTCCTGCCCAGCCAGATTCAGGAGTGGGATATCCCCACCCGGGTGTTCCTTAGACCAATTTGTGACATTGTAAACCTTGCCCTGGATAGCAATCCACAGATCATCAGGCTTGTTGTGCTTCCTTAGCTCTTCAGTTGTAATGAACTTATTTTCAACCGCCATTGAATAAAACAGATCTCAGAGCGAGAGAAAGAGGTGAATATCCAGAAGATTTTGGATTCAAACAAACACCAACCTCTTGAACTATATAAAGAAGAGATATTTTGTATGTGGGTTGGCTTTGAAAATCAAAAACAACCCTTGAGAAGGGATGTTTTGATAGGATTTGATTTGATAACGATTTCTCTCTCTACCTCTCCGCTGGTTTTTGATTTATGCTCTACTCTATGTTTGGTCTCCTTGTTCCTGTCATATATCGAGAGGCAGAGCGACTTATTCGCAGCGAGTCCGTTCAATAGTGGTAGTCCATGAAAGTCTGGACACGTTGTGGGAGTGACTAATATCACCTGCGGTTGACCCACGAGAGTCTGCAATCGAAAGAGTCCTTCTTCTTATCGACACTTGGGTTATCGTAGGAGAAGCAGAGGATCGCCGGCTATATGATAGTTAGGGTGGAGATAAGTCATGTTTGTGTCGCAAGTGGATTTATAGCTTTGCATGTTAATTGGCTTGTTAATATGTCATTGTTTACAATTTGCAACTAGATATTTTTTGGGGGGTGGGCTGTCCACGGAGACTTAATGTTATGTTATTATCACATCTAACGTGATTGGAGCATGTGGACCCCATGTGAGTCTAGTTGTGGTACTATCCTTTTTGATTTATAGAATTTTAAATTCACATTAGTCCTGCCTATTTTTAAAATAATACTAATAACCCTTGTCGAATTTCCTAAAACGCACAATTCTTCAAAAGTGAGCCACTAATCCTTAATGCAATTACCTTTGGGTTAGTCATTGATGTTGACAAAAAGTGAAATGAAATTTCATTTTACTATTATATTGACATTGAGAAAAGTATTTTTCATAGTTCTAGTGACAATATAGGGTTGTTAAGATTGACGTTCATGCTTGAAGCCTACAACTAAAGCAACTAGCAATTCAAACTCAAATGCATATTATTATTTAAATGAGTGCGTCCTATTAAAAAAGTTAATAAGACTCACTCACTCATTCAATTAATTATATGTATTTGAGTTATAATTTTATTTAAATTAAAAAAATAATACTCAATTTTAATAAAACTCAAAAAGTGCAATTCGAATGTATATCATATTTTAGATGAGTGGATCCTACTGAAAAAATTAATGGGACCCGTTAATCTAAAAAATGATATATATTTGAATTGTAAGTTTTTTAAATTTTATTTGACTTATGTAACATTAATATTACAGTATAGTCTCAAATCATTTGGAATTATGAAAATTATAAGTCATATATATATATATATATATATATATATTTATTTGTTTAGTTGGACAAGCAATGACTTGAAGATGAACTTCAAATTCTCTTGTAAGCAGTATAGCGTGGTCTTTGTCTTCATCCTTTCCTCCTCTTTTAAACCCATGATTTTGGGTCACATTTGATAAATATTTCTTAATTTTAAATATTTATTATTGAATTAAACGGCCGTTTGTAAAACATGTTTAAACGCATAAGTCAAACCCTTCAAATTCTTCTCGACGCTTTGACATAATCTTAGACCGACGGTTTCTAACAAACCCTTTTCGTAGGTAGTTTCATTCATACCAACTTGCCAAATAACGCGTTAATAAATATCTCCAATCCAACGCGCTCGATACATTTTCTCTGTCCCTGGACTTCTTATCTAAGGGAGGGTAAAAGATGTGGGTCCCACTGTCAGAAAGCAAATAAAAAAAAAGGTGAAAATAAAAGAACGCGTGGGTGAGACAAGAGCGTGACGGGACCGTACCACTTTCTGCAGCAAAAATGATTCGGCCACTCTGGATTTCAATTTCGATTCAACAACCGACAACCACTAGATGNCCAAATAACGCGTTAATAAATATCTCCAATCCAACGCGCTCGACACATTTTCTTTCTGTCCCTGGACTTCTTATCTAAGGGAGGGTAAAAGATGTGGGTCCCACTGTCAGAAAGCAAATAAAAAAAAAGGTGAAAATAAAAGAACNTATAAATATTTCTTAATTTTAAATATTTATTATTGAATTAAACGGCCGTTTGTAAACATGTTTAAACGCATAAGTCAAATCCTTCAAATTCTTCTCGACGCTTTGACATAATCTTAGACCGACGGTTTCTAACAAACCCTTTTCGTAGGTAGTTTCATTCATACCAACTTGCCAAATAACGCGTTAATAAATATCTCCAATCCAACGCGCTCGACACATTTTCTTTCTGTCCCTGGACTTCTTATCTAAGGGAGGGTAAAAGATGTGGGTCCCACTGTCAGAAAGCAAATAAAAAAAAAGGTGAAAATAAAAGAACGCGTGGGTGAGACAAGAGCGTGACGGGACCGTACCACTTTCTGCAGCAAAAATGATTCGGCCACTCTGGATTTCAATTTCGATTCAACAACCGACAACCACTAGATGACTCTGTGTCACCCATTGAGATTAGGGAGGAGCGCAACAAGCTGTGTTTCGCATTAAAACATAGATTTTATTTAGTCTCTTTTAGAAATAAAAATAAAAATATTTCATATTTTAGGTAAAAATAAGATGAAAATAAAATAAAATAAAATAAAATTTATATACAAAAGTCCGAACATTGATTTAACATACCAAAATACATTAAAATATAAAAATTTCGACATTTTGATTTGTTTGGAGTTTAATAAGAAATGCAAATGTTTTGGCTGCTTCAATGAAAATTCATTACAACATTTACATAGAAATTCAGGCAAATTATATTTTGCACCTTAAAATTTTCAAATTTTTTATTTTATATCCTTAAAGATTAATTTTTTTACATTACACACTCAATATATTTTTTTTGTTAGTTTTTCGTTAATTTTTAATAATTTTGATGTATTAAGAGTATAATATGAAAAATTTAATCTTTTTTTTAGGGTATAAAATGATAAAGGTGCAAAATACAAGCCCTAAAAATTCAAAGGAATTTTACAACTTGACGGAAAAAAAACTCAAATGGATGGGAAAACATTGTGACATGTCATGTCACATAAAAATTCCAAGGAATTTTAGAATGACATCTCTTTATAAATGGATACTTAGATTTTTCAAGTAGTCCAAAATATAAGAAATCCAATTCTCTCCATTTTTTAGAATGAATAATGTTACACGAACTTAAAAATTAGGCATGATAATTTTAACCATTGAATAGGTAGTAGGTCTCAATAAATACTGAAATTTACAATAAAATCAATGATTGAGATTATCAAGTCTATTTTTTAAATTTATGTAGCATTGCTCTTTCAAAATAACATTGATACATTACATAGTACATCAATCATTATCAAGGGACAAGTGCTTTGACAATATTGTAAGTTTTTTTGAAATAGTTGACATTGTCGGCTAATGCAGCTAGCGACATCAAATGAATAATAACCAATTGTTAACGAATCATGCAGCACACACCACTATTGCTCACGGTCTTATTTTTATCACATGATGTGTCACAATTGCAATGGTTAAATAGTTAATAATTCAATGAGAATCACTAATTTAATGATCAATAATTACCATTTAATTTTCAGAATAATTGTTTTTTCAAGGAAATTCTTAATCAATTTTTAACGAATAAAAATACATTTACGTTGTTCGAACTCGTGAACCGGAGTGCCTAACGATAAATAATCAGTTCAACAAAGGGAAAGTGTGAAGCAATTTTTCAAAAACCACGTGGGTCCCCCTTAGATACACTTCGGAGGCAATGACACACCAACCGAGAGGCAAGAACGCGTCACACAGCTCATTACTTAGACGCCCCCTTCCATCAATGACAAAGTCTACCTTCAACTCTAAGCAAACTAATTATGTGAATGTTACAAAAACTTAGCTCCTGTTTGATAACTGTCTTTATTTTGAGTTTTGTGTTTTTGTTTTTAATTTTTGTCAAAAATAAAAATAAAAATATGTTTGTTTACTGTTTTTGATTTTGTTTTGTTTTCGTTGTATTAGAAATAAAGACAAAAAAATAGAAACAAAAAATTTTTGTTCCAAGAAACACATGAAACAGAAAACACGCGTGGACTGTTTAAATGAGGTCTGACCTTCGACTCTTATTAAATACAAAATTCCACTTCAAAATAGGGGCTATAAATATGAGATATTTTTTGTCTCAGCCAGTCTTCCATTTCGCACAGATCATTCGCTCTCTCTTCTCACAGCCACTCTCTCTCTCTTCTCTTCTGTGAAGGTAAGCAACTACTGTCTTTCGTCCCTCTCAGTATGTCTCTCTTCTTCGAAGATCTCTCATCAACTCTCTCTCTTCCACTCACAAATTGACGAAGACAAAGTAAAACTCACACAAAGAAGACTCACAGCCGAAGACGAAGAAGGTAAGTATAACCCCTTTATTTGTATACATATATGTATATATATACATAGATCTGTATATATATGCATAGATCTACATAGATCTGTACACTACATACCTTAATCGTTTTTTTATTTATTTATATGCATAGATCTACATAAATCTGTACGGTTTTGTGCTTTAATCATATTTTTTTTTATATTTTTGTCTATCTCAAAAAATATGTTTAAATTGTTTGAGTTGTTTTGCATTTTTTTCTCAACGTTGGGGAAATCTTCTGTGTAGTGCCAAGCAAAATTATTTGGGCATTCTATATACAATATTACATGGTGTTATATCTTTTTTTGAACATTGCATAACGTCTATAACGACAGGGTTGCTAAGTGAAATGCATATGTAAACTACGGGGGGCACCAGTGACATTTTAGAAAATGGAGAGGGTGTCTCTGTAATTAGACCAATCTACAAGGGATATCAATGTAATTTATCCATTGTAATTGGTTCGAAGGGACAAAAAATTAAAGAATGCCATTAACGTGTCCACACCAAGGAAGTTTGAATGCAAACTTGTAACTGTTAATCTTTCTTTCTTTGGATCGTGTACAATGCCTGGAATGAAGTCTTGGAAACATCCTCTCACAGATCAACGATGACGATCTGTTCAATTAAAAAAAAATC